TTTTCTGACAACCTAATAAAAGGTAAGGGCCGAGGCACACCAAAATCTTAACATAAATACAGATCACGCTGAGATGGGCAATTCCCCATCCTTCCTTCTTCATCTCCTGGTGGGCAAAAGAAAAGGGAGATACCCACTGAGAAGAAAAAAAAAAAAATCCAGAAAGCTCTCCAAGACAAAGGAAAATACCAAGAGAAAGAAAATGAAACCTAGACAATAACTGTATCTTGAAATATTTTTGGCCTGAATACTAAAGAGTGTGAAGACTAAGAAAAAGTCCCTGGGTGTATAATGACTACTCAGAGAAGCATTGCTCCAGGTGTAACTTTTATCGCTCTTGCTGTGCTGTTGTTTCATTCTCAACCCTGAGAATAGTGCTTCCCCCATGCCTGAAACGGCACCCTAGACCACCAGAATATGGAGACATGAGCTTCGCCCAAACACCGAACTGGCTGGGGCACACCAGGCACCGGCCAGTGCCTGTTGAATGAATGTCAGTTCGTCTATTGGGAAGTTGCAAGCTGGTGGCAAGGACAGAGAGGTTGAGAAACACTTGGGGAAGGTGAAGGAGAGCCCAGTTATCACAGCACTGTATTCCTGCAGCAGCTCCGCCAATTAAACCATCATGAGTCTGCTGAGTAAGGCTCCCACATCTGAGCTGTTTTTGGAGAGGCTTCATGATTCACGCCCAAATCACACAAGATTAAAGAAATACGGGATAAAATCAAGCCAAACATTAAGTGCGAGGGAAAGATTTTATTGGACAAATTAGAAAAATATTGGTATTGTGCTTCAGAGAAACCCACTTCTTTCCTCTGGCTGCTGGGGCAGACGGAGAAGGAATATGAGTTATTTTAAGTGAGCCTGCTCCATCCTCCCCACGCTGGCCACAACGCCACACTCACACCCACCGTGCTAATCTGGCAGCCTTGGCCAGAACGAGGGGAGCGCCCGTTTATAATAAGGTTTTGATTATATGGCCGGGCTTGGGAGAAGACAAGTGAGGCTTGAATGAGGAGTCCCTGCCTGAACTAGCTAGGGAGCTGCTGGCAGCTGGCTGGTCCTGGCCCACCCAGGGCCGACTCATGTCTGGAGCAGACACCTTATTTCTAGAGGAAGCTCAGGAGGTCCTTACATTGTCCAGGACAACACAACATAAGTGAAAATGAAAACACTGGTTTGGAAGGATCTCCTCATTCATTCCTTTACTGAGTCCCTACTATGTGCTGAGTGGACTGATAGAAAGGGAAGGAGGAAGAAAGCAGAAACAGGTAAAGAAAACAGTGATAAATAAGAGTTCTGTGCAGCTAGAGCTGGGAAGATCCACGTGGGCTAGCTCTTCATTATCACGTTTGCCGACTGAGGGTCCTAGTATTATTGCTGCTGCTTTCAAAACCCATCAAATACATTGGCTTCTTCACGTGGGAGGGCTTACACAGACCCTAACGATACAGCCATCTACCTGTTTTCTAGACCAAAGTTGGCCAAGATTGCTACAGAACCAAAAAGAAAACTGAGGGTGGGGGCGTGTGTGTGTCTGTGTGATCCCTTGCCAATATTTATCATGATCATTTCAACCAACTGAATAACCAAAAGGTGTTCTTTAGGTCTCCCCTAAGGACCCCATCACCATCAGATCATTCCAGCCTTTCTGGCACCTGAGCACAGACCTACAGAACCAATACAACACAAACAGGTGATCACAACAACCGCCACTGCCCCCATGAGGTCCTAGAACCTACTTTGCCACACCAGATTCTTTGCTTGCATTATCCTATTTACTCTGACAACCAAGCCCTGACACATATACAGGCATATGGCAGGATGACAAGGGAAACATGATACACAGAGAGGCTGTGTGACTTGCCCAAACAGCTGGGATGCAGCAGGACTAGGAGTTAAGGGCACTCTGTGTGGTACTGACGCTGGGTTCCTTCTGCTTTGCTGCTCTTTTGTTTAGAAGGAAAAAGCGAACTTTAGCCGAGTCAATGTACACTTACAGATTATGTTTCGATGTGGAAGATCATTTAACTTTTGATAGTTATTATCAGCCCCACCTTCTAAAGATCTGATGGCTTCAGGGTCACAAACGGAGGAACTGAATGGAAGCCCCAATGGACCTGCCATTCCTTATGGTCTTGTCATGGATCGTGGCAAAATAGTCCACAGGGTTTTGGTTCTCATGAATGGTATATGGGGCCTTTCTTGGGCCTCGCCATGCATACTGACTTGACCCTAAGCACTGCTATTGGGGAAACCATGCAGTACATCCTTTCAATGGTGAGAAGAACAGAACTGGCTTGTATCTGTGAATATGTAGACTACTGGCAGATGATCAGTGTTGACTAGGTGGCCTGATTTCTTAAGAGCCTTTCAGGTGCCCTCTCAGTGGCCACAGTTCTGAAAAGTGCATCAGACAAATTATTTAGAAGCATGCCATTTGCTGTCCACCCCAGGGACACATAGAGGACCAGAAAGACATTGAGAGCAGACTGCACAGGGAGCAGTGGATGGCTTCCACTGCTGTAGAGAAGAGACACAACCTTGGTGACTTCTGACATCTGGTTCCATTTCCATCCTTCTTTAAAAGCCAATAAAGAAGAAGTTAATTCATTCACTGGCAGAAGATGCAGGTTGGATTATTTCATTGACTTTGTTCCATTCCAATCTGGAATAAATACTCGGTCACACCAAACATGGAACTCTTACTGCCCTCAAAAAACAACCCTCCCTGGGCAGCCTGGAGATGAGTAACAAACTAAGCTTTTTACACTTAAATATGTCTTTAGACTCAAATAGACATTAAAAGTCTGTGGCTTTTTCAGCCAGACTTTTCAATAATATTGAGTTACATTTGGAATTAGCTAACCAGTTCATTCGGTTCCTTTCCAGATAAAAAGACTGTTGAAATCAGACATTACCATAAGTCCCATCCTAAAGCACGCATATGGGATCCACATGACAGGGTCCTGACTCCATTAATACCAGGGTGGTTAGAGCGAAGTTGGATGATGAGGGAGCTCTCACATGAACTGTGTCTAAACAATGATGCAAGCGCGAAGTGAGATGGTCCCCAGGACGCTTGGCCTACAAACATTTGCATACCAGGCCCTGCTGCTACTTTCTAATTTTGATGAAAGGGGAAAGACGTGTGGGGAAGATGGGTCCGTGTGCACTTGTGTGTGTGCACATGAGTGTGTAATGTGGTATATCTGTGGATCGCTGGAGAAAACCATCTCCCGTTGCTTGACTTTTAAAGGCTGAGTTATTCTTGGGAACCAGCAATTAGCGTAATGGCTGTGTCGCTGGACTCCCATGTAGTCGACCGCGGTTCGCGTCCCGGACCTGGTGGCTTAAAACTCACACCGGGCGTGTGTGCGTGCATGCCCAAGATCCCAAGAGGAGAATGGAGGAGAAGGGATTGCGGCATGACCCTCCCCCCTGGGGGGTGATTTCTCGCTTTCTGTCTCTATGTCTCTCTCTGTCTGTCTGGCGAGTGCACATGCCCTATAGCGAAAAACCTCTCAAAAAAAAGAAAAAAGGCTGAGTTATTCTTTATACTTTCATATATTCTTTAAAAGGAGTGAAGCACACACAAACTCAAAGGGGTGTCCTTTGTTTCAACACATTGCAAGTAAGCTCGGGATGGCAAACCCACAGCACACTCGCTGCCAATGCCCCACTGGAATCCACAAGAGATACTTTCAATGAGCCAGGGCCCCTGACCTGACGAGCCTGCTGTCACCTCAGATCTTTCTCAACACAGGGCTCCCAAGGTGGAGGACACCCTGGCTGTCCTGGGTTTGGCCTAACTCCAATAATTTCTGGACAGTGAGAATGATGTTGAGAGGAAGAAAATCACATATACACCATGTCACCAAGTGATGCTTCTTGGTATGACATAGGCAAGAGACAGAACATCTTAACTGTTTCATTTCAACACAAAAGGTGTCGGACAGTTATTATGCACTAAGTCCTAGGTTTAAGCAACATAGTGGGTCCTTGGAAAAGTCATGACATATTTTATTAGTCATAACTTTTCCAACGACCCAATACTTTAAGGGCAAATCCCATGATTATAAATGTCCACATGTTTTTTGTTTTGTTTTGTTTTGTTTGTTCGTTTTGTAATTTCATTTTTTTGTAAATACCAGCTGGGTAAGCCCTGTGCAAAGGGAGTCAGATCCCACATGGCCAACTACTGTTCGTATGCATCCTGACCTTGGCAGCTTGAAAACCATGCTGGACATGTGTGCATGTGTGCCCAGAATCCTGATGAAATGGAGAAATGGAGGAAACAAGGTCTGTGGGATGACCGACTCCCATGAGATAGGTGCTTTCTCCATCTCACTCTTTCTGGGGACTGCACCTGCCTGCTGTCAATTAATTAATTAAGACAGAGAGACAAAGAGAGAGAGAAGCATCCTCCGTAGGGCTTGGTCATGCCACAATCCCTTTCCTGCAGTCTTCCAGTCAGCCAGGATCCCAGGTATGCACAAGCACTGGACGTGTTTTCAGGCCAACAGGGCCAGGGACTCAGACCGCAGCTGGCCGGTGGTTTCCAGCTCTTCAGACAAGTTACAGTACTGGCTGTTCCACAGAGGCTGGGCCTTGTATCTAATCTTGGTATGAAATGTGCCTTGTTACAGAGAGTCTCGAGTTGGAATGGGAGAGTCCATTTATCATATAAAGGTGACTATTATAATGGGTTTCAAGCTTTTGAGTCAAGTAACAATTTTCCATATATTGACAGATGTGAGATCATTAATAAACGCATAGATATGCCTTGATATATAAATGTATGATAAAATACATTTATCCCACATTATTGATATAGTGTCAAAATCCTAGTTTCAAATTATGAAAGCATCCTTTACAATACCATGAATGGAGCCGGGTTAAAGGGAAAACGGCAAACTGTGCCATCACTGTAGAACAGAGGGAAAAGACATCTTTTAAAATCATAAAAGGAGAAATGTGAAAATAAGTATTCTTCTTACCAGTGGCCTGAGTTCAGGGTGCGTCAGGATATATCCATTATTCGTGATTGCAAAGGCATAACCGTGAATCCCTAACTGTAAGAGGAAGCCAGAAAGAAACCTTCATTAGCTTGCTCCCCGGTGAATTCACCAAGCATAAAGCAGCCCGGCATTTAGTAATTTACAGCTTAAACTTGGCATTCATAACCCTTATCAGCACAATATTTCATTAAAATGAATGCAAGGCACTGATCCTTGACATCTGGTGGAAATGAAGACCTGTCACAGGATAAGCTCAGCAAATAGCACAATTTAAAATGTCACATCCCACATTGGCATCCGAGGGCTTTATTTTGATTTATTTAAAACAAAACAATTCCTTTTTTTTTTTTTTTTTTTTCGTTCTTCTCTCTTTTTAACAACACGGTGGCTAATCTTTCTGGAAAAGCTCTAACTTCAAGTAAACAGGATGTTATCAACTGGGGTGTCCCAGTGATAAGAAAGAGGGGTTCCTCAGGCTGTTTCCCACCTGGGCTTCCTACAGGTCCACACCCCTAAGGGCTGTCGCAAACATACACTCTCTGGGGCTGTCATTTTCCATCATTCTTCAAGGATAAAAGTGTCCCCACCAGACTACCTCGCAGCCAACTCCTTTTAAAGCCTCTCATCTTTAAATTGTGTGGCTGCCCGGGTATTCTGTGCATGCTCCCATCAACACAAAGTCTGGGTAATTTTCTACACAGAGCCCCACTTAATTTATGTTTTCTGACTAAATGGGACTGTGGGAAATAGTTTGGGAGCAATGAAATGTTTTATTAGCTTTAAAAAGTATGTAATCAAATTTAACACTGCACTTATTTAAATAATAATCCCGGCTTTTTGACAATATTTCTATTACACAGTTGACTGCACCCATTGGCTACAATACATTGACCTACAAATCATTCATGTATTAAAATGGCCTCTGGCATAAAACCCATACTGATCTCTCTCTCTCAAGAAGGAAAATGTAACCCACTTTTGTCAGAGAAGTGAAAAGGGAGGAGAAAATTCTCCATTTTTTTCCGAGGACTTATTTCGCAGTTCTGAGCCTTCACCATTCCTTTTCTTCCCATTCTCTGCCACTCACATGCTTGACTATGATACTATGACATGGTCCAGATGACAGAGTTGACAAACCAGGAATGACCCTGTCTGCTGTTCACCTTACGTCAAGGTGATGTGAAATTAACTTCAGAGAACTTAACTCCAGCAATGAAAAGTTTCCTTTGCGTTACAGGAAGCAAATGCACACGTGGTCGTCAAGGGCAACAGACGTTTTTTCCTGGAGATACCTTGCACGGCAAGTTTTAATAAGATTCTACTTGACTCTGATGATAAAAGTGTATTTCATTACGCCGGGAAAGATAAACCAGAGACTTCCTATCCTTTGAGATGTATATCGTCTCTTTCATCTCGCCTCTTGGAAAAATGTCAGATGCCGTCAACACGGCATTAATTACCATTATTATGTCCCCGTGTACATGGACTGGAGAGGTCACAGAGGACTTGGAGAGCTTGACTTTTTCCGTGAAAGGCAAAAGTGGTATTTGATTGGAAATTCAAAGTCGGTATTAGGCCAAACGAATGATATGCATTGCCTTCTAACTCACGTGACTTCCGCTGTGGTTTTGCTAGTGGGAGCTGACATGCCCAGGAAGGTAGAGTTCCTCTCAATGCTCTGTATGTTCCTACAGAACACTTACAAAAGGATCATAATTATTTGTGATTATAAATAATCAAGGCATCTGTTAAGGTGTGTTTAATTATTTCATGTCTGCCTCCACCCACTAGACCACAAGTTCCATGGGGACAAAGGTCATATCATATGGTTCAAAATGCATAGTGGGTGGGCCAGTGGGTGGTGTTGTGGTTAGGGCACTGGATCCCACAGGCCAACTGAATGGTTTAAGTACCACGGACCAGTGGCTTGAAAGACACCTGGGCATGTGTGCATATGTGCCCAAAATCCCGAGAGGGGGATGGAGAAGAGAGATTGCAGCATGGCCATCCCCCTCGGGATGATTTCTCTCTCTCTCTCTCTCTCTCTCTCTCTCTTTCTCTCAAGTGCACACACTCTGTGGCAAAAATCTAAAATGAAACAAAACAAAATCATAATAATATGGTGGGGTGGTCAGGATGAAGCAAAGAGGTGTAGAATGAAGGAGGGGGAGGTAGAGCCAAGTAAGTTACATGAGAAGCTGGTCTCAGCATGGATTCTACAGAGCCCCACTAAGCTCCAGTCTCCTGCTGGAATGATATTCCAGCTGGGCTGTCCTTCCAACCAGGCCCTCCTCTCCACTTGTCCAGTTGCCACCTCTTCTTCCTGGGACCTGCTCCTGCCTCAGTCTACTGGGCTCTGCCCTTGTTTTCCCTCCACCCCTTAAGATGCCACTGACACTCCTTTCTCTGCAATTATCAGTTCTTCCTAATTCCCAAGGCCCATAGGATGTCTTTCCTCTTCGATCTTCCTGGTTTTAGTAGTCAATTACTGCCTCCTCCTTGACTGTTCGGCTCCAGGCCCCGCACTCCTGGGCTTCCTCCTCTGCAGGATGGTCTTTTGTCACTCATTCCTCAAGCAATCATGTCCCCAAGATTCTGGCCCAGCAGCCCTTGTCTGCCCTAAGTGTCTTCTTCCCAATCAGCTTCGGCAACCACCTGACTGTGGTTGATCTCCAGGCTGAGGCTCCCACGTCGGTGTCCCCTTCAGTGCCATCCCAGCATCTGGGGGGCTGGGAACTGAGAGTTGAGTGTCTCTTCCTGGCTGTCCTTCGGGCACCTTTGAGCCACTGGCCAAAGTGAAAGCTCTCAGCTGTAGGAATGCTCTTCTTCCTCCTCTCACAGGATGTGGGGCCACTCCCACCCAGACCCCACGTTAGAAACTGGAGCATCGCCTTTGGATTCTTTTCTCTTTCCTCTCAACTCCTCAGTCCTGGTCATCACTAAAACTTGCTGTTTTTTCCCCAGATATTACTCAGACTCAACTGTGCTGCCCAAGCCCACCACCATGGTACTAACTATAAATCTCCACACTGGTCCTAACTTCTCCAACTGCCTCAAGTGTGGCCCCTTCAAGCCACTCTTCAGGTTGACCAAAATTGAAGGCAACTCCGACGATGTTAATCCTGTGTAAAGATCCCTTCTGTGTGTAAGGTAGAAACCAAGAGACAGTCTGTCAGGTCTCCCTAGAGTGTGGCCCTACTAAGTACCGACCCTGCCTCTCTGCACTCACTGTCTTCCAGGGCAAGTGGCAGCAACGGCCCCCTGTAGACTCTTCTCTTCTCCCCAGACCTGTACACACAGTGCCAGCAGCTTAGAGCACGCTTCTGCCCTTCCCTTTGCTAATTATTCTCAGCCATACTGGAAGCTCAGGCTCATGATCCTCTCCTTTAAAAAGCCTGTGCTGACCCTACCCTTTGCTCGCTTGTTTCCATACCATGCTTCCCTTAGACCCTGAGTATCACCTCATGCTTCCTTCACCCTAATGTATAAAAACACTATCCACATGGTTCTGCCTCTTGACCTGGCTAGTTCTCTTCCCTTCCACTACTCTGTTCTAGAAAGAATGCAAGGCAGTACCTCCTCCACTAGAACCAGCTCTCTGTGGAAGGGCCATGTCATTTATCTCTGGTTCCTACCACGTCTGGCAGGTACTCAGTCAAGGTATGCATCACTTTACTCAAACATTACCTAATTCATCCTGAAAATCTGATCTAAAGTAAATATGTAAAATGAGAAACTGATTAGATCCAGCAGAGGCTTAGCCAGTCTTTCACAAGCCTGTACCTGAGGAAGTCCTGACATGCAGAAACTGCTGAAAATGCATTCTGAGAAAATAGCACCAGAAGGTTTTCTTCCTTGGTCAGTGGCATACAGATAGACTCTCATGTGGATGTAAGAAGAAAAACTGAGTACATCTCAAATTCGTTCTGTGAATGAATCACTCGGAGAATCAAAAACTTATAATAAGACATCGTTGAACATTTCTTTTTGGCCACAAATCAATAGGCTGATGAAATCCCTAACTCTTGTTTCATCCAAAATCGAGCCAGTCTTCCTGTCCATTCTAATGTGCATCCCGTGGAGTAATAGAGAACAGATCAGACGCAAGGCCTTCCAGCACTTGGCCTGCCAAGGGGCCCTGGACCTGAGGCACGCTCTCCTGGAGGCCAGGAGCCGGCGTGGTCCAACAGCCTGGGGGAAGGAGGTACTTCCCTTCCAAGTGGAGAGACTTTGGGCTAATGAAGTGAACCCAATTATAAAATGGCTCGTTATGTTAACAGAGGCCGTGGTGTCTGGAAATTATTGCTGGGGTGTCTGGAATTCTTAATAAAAATTACAGGAAGTCTGATCGCTTGTGGGAAAATCTATGAAGCTAAAGGAGAAAGAAAGAATTCTATCTTCTGGGAAAACCCCAAGAGCCAAATGCTGACTCATCTTTACAAGGTGTTAATCAGGGGGTCAAAGGTGACCCAAACTCTACTCCCTGGAGCTCCCCTCTCCTGGGTGAAAGAGGCCTGTTTGGCTGTGGCTGTCCCTGGTGGGCATGTCCACCTTTCCCTGGACTCTTCGGGGGAACCAGAAGAGGGACACCTGAGGTTAATATAGGCCATACCTATCCCTGGTTCCCAACCCAGCTGTTGGGACAGCATAAAACAGAAGTGCCTGCCCTTCAAGCATTGCTGGTTAATTTCCTCGGGTTGGTCTTCCTCTATTCTCTCCTTTCCTTTGCTTCACTTGTCATTGAGTACCTGAGTGATGCTGAGAAAGTATTTCAAGTACCCTTAAGCTCAACTAAAAATGGGACAAAGCAGTACGCACTTTATAGGGGTGTAGAAAAAGTCAACGGGAACAAATGTATCTAGAATACTGTGGACCACACCAATCACATGGTAAGCAGATCAAGGCATGCTTTACCGTGTTTCTAATTATAACTAAGCCATTATTTGAACATTTTAGCCACTGTTATTGTCATTGCTCTTATTGTTCTTGGTGGCATTGAGGTTATAAGGGTTAAAGTCAACGCTTTTCTATTTGCAAGTTGTGAGACATGGCAAGGTATTGAAACTCCCTGTGCCTCAATGTCTTTAGCTGTATGATGGGGTAACAGTCATGTCTACCTACTGTTGAGAAAATGTGGTAAGGTGCTTAGCATGTGGCCTGTTGAGACTGACCCGCCGAGTAATCACTCCTGATCCCAGAGCTCATCCATTCATCCCTGACTTACTGAGCACATACGAATGAGTGACCCTGTGCTTGGATGTTTACACCTATGAAGAGATGAAATAAAAAGCACCAAAATTGTTTGGAAATATGTTCTATTAGGTGGGATGCCCTTCCTTAAATGGTGAGCCAGCAGTTCTGGACCCTCAAGTCTGAGAATTTCAACAAAAATAATGTCTACTGAGCCAGAAGTTGGTGGGGAATTAGGGAACATGACTCCACATGGCTGACTCTGCAGTTCAAGTCCCGGACCCAGCAACATGAAAAACATGAAAGGTGTGTGCATTGTGAGTGTGCAAAATCCCAAGAGGAGAACAGGGGAGAAAGGATCACAGCAGGTCATCCCCCCCAGGAAGTGAGTTCTCACTTTCCTCCTCTCTCTGTCTCTCTGGTGAGTGCATGTGCCCCATGGCAAATATTTTTTTAAAAAGTAAAATCTACTGTCTTTAGAGGCTTCAACGCTTTCATTCAGTCTCACCCCTGGATTTCAGTTTTGGAGAACCTGCAGTTCCCGATGCCGGGTTATATAGGTTTGGATCAACTCCATGCCCTATGGTGCCTCTGGAAATGTAACCCTACTGTAAAAGTGCTGGTCAAAGAAGCTGGTTTTTGTCATTTGACAGAAGGAGAACTAAGCATTTGAGAGTCCTGTTGCACCATCTTGGTGAAGGAGCAGGGGACCCCCTGAGGTGAGCTCTAACCACTGCCTGCCTCCATCTAAGGCCCAGGGAAACCAATGGACCAATCACAACTATGGCAAATCAAGCCCCAGCCTATCAGGGCAGGTGCTAAGGAGGTAGGCCCTGGGAACCACCAATCCGAGATTTTGGCCTCTCTCCAGATGGAGGCAGAGAAAACCCTGTATCTGTGGTTGAGCCCCAAATGGAGGCTGGCTGGCTAGTCTCCTTGGAGCTGGCAGAGGAGGGAATGGATGTGGTTTCTCTGTGCTGTGTGGTCAATGGAGCCCTCTGTCCAGTGAGCTGACAGGACTCGGAGCAGGAGCTACTCACTGATCCTTCTCATGCTCCCACAGTCATGCCCACTCATGTGCACACTCAGAGGGCTCTTGAGCAGTTGTGTGGGCCTCTGTCAGGCCTTGCCAGGACCTCCCACTTCCTGTTTTGTTTTGTAATTGCTAGAGCACACATGTACTCAGCAGAGAGGGACAGATAAAAAGATAGAAAGTACCCCTTCCATTGGGGTGTGGCCATGCCACAGTTCCTTCTCCATTTGTCCACCTTGTCTGGATTTTGGGCACACATGTACACATGCCTGGTATTTTTTTAAAATAATTATTTATTTAATTTTATTTATTACTATTACTTTTTAAATTTGCTATAGATCATATGAGCTCACCAGAGAGAGAAAGAAAGAAAGAGAGAAAGTGAGAAAGCAAGCCACCAGGTCCTGGACTTGAACTGCAGTTGATCATGTGGGAGTCCAGTGCCTTAATGGCATGGTGATGCCATAGCATGCTTTTTTTAAGTCACCAGAGCTGGAGTTAGAACTATGGTCAGCCATGTGGGTCCAGCTCCCTCTAACCAATAGGCCATGGGTTATCTTCTTTTTAATTTGTTTTTCCAAGGCCTCCCCCACTAGGAAACAGGGAAGTATTTTCTGCATAGGACCCTGGGACTCTCTGGGTCATCTCTTTAAAAGGCAAAAGGTCAGGTCAATATCCCTTGTATTTTCCTACAAAAATACAATGATGACATTAATTCCAATTTAAACTTTTTCACTGATTACTTAAATTGAGGTTTAAAGAGGAGATCATTAAGAAAACTAGCAAGCCAACGGAAATAAACATACCTGTTAAGAAACTGTGCAGTTGGCACAAACATGAGGCAATAGGTTATGATGGTATAAATCAAAACACTGCTCAAAAGGGAAGCAGAGCTGGAAGCCTGACTTTTGTGGAAACCAGGCCCCTGGTATCTCTGTGGCTCTGCTGTCCCTAATTAGACCATGCATTACCTTGTATTTGGGGATGGTCTTCAGAAGTTCTTTCACGGGCACATCTGTGCCTACCACGCCCAGAAGAATGCCCTTCGATCTCTGTTGAAATGAACATTGAATGACAGTAACGGTACGTTAACAAGGCAAGTGAAACCAAACCTCACGAGAAGCTGTACGTCATAGATCACGGTCCAGCCCACCCTAACAGATAGGGACTGAAGATTAACCCAGCTCTCCAAGAAGTACCCTCTTCGCACCCTCCACTGTCCACCGAAAATACTACTAGAAAAGAACGGGAGATTCCCGATCAGGCCCAGCATTAGCCACGAAAACTCTCAGCAGACGCTCACACCCAAAGACTTCATCAACCTCCCTCTTTTCTCTCCTAAAAGCTAAAAACTGAACGGAACAAGCACAATAGCTTCCACAGCAGAGGACTCCGATCGCTAACTAGTTTCTCTTGTGAAAACTTTATACGGAAAAGACAGAGCATGTTTCTCAATGTACACTGCCCTCCTGTGCCCAGGATGGAGAGGCTCAATAGGCACAGATATAGTAACTGACATTTTTAGCAGCCAGTCGGAACCCAGGGCCAGGGCTAAGAAACAGGCCTCCAGGGCCCCTGCATCCAAGGCAGGGGCTCAGTGTAATTTGCCGAAACTTCCTGATGTCAGAAAGGCCATTGGGAAGGATGTACAGGTAGCTGCCATTAATTTTTTTTAAGGCTTGACTAGTGTCCCCTAAATTCATGTCCACCCAGAACCTAAGATCGTAATACTACTTGGAAATAGAGTATTTGCAGAAGTAATAGTTACAAGTCTTGAGATGAAATCCTCCTGGATTTAGGGTAGGCTAGTCTCTTTATAAAGGGAGACACATGACAGAAGGCCACGTGGAAGAGGAGGCAGATATTAAAGTCATGCTTCCACAAGCCGGGGTGGGTCCTCAAAGCTGAAAGAGGCAAGGAAGGGTTCTTCCTTAAAACATTCCAAGGGAGGGGGCCAGCAGGTGGCATGGTGGTTAAGGACGCTGGACTCCCACATGGCTGACAGTGGCCCAAGTCCCAGACCTGGCAGCTTGCTTTTTTACTTTCCCTCTCTCTTTCTCTTGTTCTGTCCCTCTCTGGTCAAATAAAAAAATAAAGTTAAATAAAATAACTCTTTTAAAAATTAAAATAAAAATTTCCAAGGGAACATGAAACCTTGATTCCAGCCTTCAGAACTCTGAGAGAATACATTTCTGAGTTTTGTTTTTGTTTTTTAAACCAAAGTCACCCAGTTTGTGGCACTTCAAAACTATACACAGCCCATCACTAAAAATCAAAGAGAAGTCAGCACACACTCTTCAAGGGTTCCCTGGGTTTCCCTCCTCTGGCCATTTAAGAAGGGATTTTAGATAGGTGCAGAAAGCCAGCCAGCAGCGCAGTGGTTAAGGCACTGGGTCCCACAGAGCCAGCTGTGTGGTCCACGTTCCGGACCCCTGGTGGCTTGGTAAACATGCTGGTAGTGTGTTCATGCGTGCCCAGGATCCTCAGAGAATGGAAGATAAGGGAATGCAGTGTAGCCATCGCTCCTAGGGGGTGAGTTCTCACTTTCCTTCTCTAGCTCTTTCTCTCTGTGTCTCTCCAGTGAGCGCATCTACCCTCTAGCAAAAAAATAAATAAAAGAAACTAAAGTGATGCCTGTTTAGATTCCATTCCCCTGTGTCAGATCTAGCGACGCCAACACCAGGATGAACCAATAAGGAACAATTAGATACTCACTATCCTTTATAAATGAAGTCACAAGAAATTACATCAGAGGGGGTCTGAGAAAACAACCCTCCTAATGTCGAGCGAGGCATGGCCGCCATACTCACGGTTTCATTCTGCTTGCTAAATACAGGCATGGCAACTGTGGTCATCAGAACGAGGCCCTGGTCATCAGTGAGCTGGGGGGCAGAGAGAAAAAACAGTCATCTGGAAACTGCAGTGTGAGAGGCCTTCACAGCTCTTCCTGTCCTGAGGTCGCTGAGAATGGGCAGTGCCCACTCAAGCCTTTAGCAGAGACGCAGTGCACCATCTCTCCACTCTGATTTGCAGAGGAGAGTCCCAGTTCCCTGCTGGGGAGCAGTCAGTTGCCATCAGTCGCTCCAGCTGGTCTGTCCTCTACTTCTGCTATTTTTGTTCCAAAAAGTCTCAACTGGATCTTGGATGATTCACTTGATTTTATTACCATGGATTGATTTTACTATTTTCGGACATTTATGTTCAATGTGAGTTTGTAGAAGAGTCACACTTCTCCTTAACCTAAAACTTGAGGAGCAGAAAGCCTGAGTGCATGCGATCTCATGAGTTGGCCCTGCTAGAAACAGAATCCTGAGGCATTTATTCTCCCCAAGGTGGCTGGGTCAACGCTCCTTTACCTCTCAAGATCTCTGAATGCTAGTCCCAGACAGGAAGCAAAAAAAACAGAAACAGACAAAAATAATTTAATCATTACTTGACTGTAACTAAGAAGCTAATCGGTTCTCTTAGAAGAATGACCTTGGACTAATGCACTCAACTCTCTGAACTGTGTAAGACACACTGAGACCAACCATCACATTTGCTTTGCTGGGTCTTAGGAGACGAGACCCAGGAATGAATGGAGAAACGGGATCCTGGCATGCAGTCAGCTCCGGCCTGAGACAAACACGGTTCTCACTGCCAGCTTTGACTCTGTCTAAACTGCATTAGGGAAGCCTCCATGTCCTCCAACAATGCCAACGATCCCCCGGGATTACTTCTGTGACAATGAAACAGGAAACTGTCCAACATGGCACCTGGGATATGGAGGTGCTCAGTGGGTGCTCCTTTCCTCTCCCTGCCTGTAAAGTCACACGGCTAGTGTCAGAGTCTAAAGTGAGGAGAAGGTTGTGGCGGTGCAGATCAACACCAGAGGTGGCCTGGCATCTGAGGAGAGAAGGATACTACTTCCTGTTTTCCTGGCCTGTCCTAGCCCTGTGAAACAATCTGCCAATTAAAATGTGCTATCTTTAATCCAGAATGTTTTCTGACTATTTGAGCATTTTTCCTCCATAGGCTTAGATCCATAGAATGATCAGGTGGTACTCCCTCAGTCTTCTTAGGGAGAGACATTGGAAAGAGAAGAGCCAACAAGCTAAGTGTTTGAAGTTCTCGGAGATGTTCTAGTGCTTTGAGTCCTCAGAGTCACTTCTAATAGATCCTTGAAGCTCTGGGGCATCACTACCTGCAATATGGTACACGGGACAGAAGCCTCTGCAGCACCTGAGTGCTTGGAAGAAATGCATAGTCCAGGAGTAGCGGGGGGTACGTCAGGGAGTGGGATACCACACAGCCCTCTGTGCTGTTTGAGTCCTGGACCTGGCAGCCTCAAAGATACACTGGGCACATGTGTGTGCATGCACCCAAAATCCCAGGAGAAATGAAGAAGGGAATGTAGCATGACCATCACCAATAGGGGGCACTTTCTCACTTTCCCTCTTTGTGTCTCTTTGGCAAGTGCATCTGCCCTATAGCAAACAAACAAACAAACAAACAAAAAAACAAACTGTCTAAATGTGAATCATTCCTTTAACAATTATTATACACATTAAAATCTGATAAGTGTTGCTATTGAGCAATCCTTTCCATCTCATCCCCATCGATAATCATGATAGCTAAAAAGAAGCTGGCAGGTGTTGGGATAAAACTGCCAACAGGGAAGGAGAAAGCCATTTTTTATTAGTTTTCCATCTCTATCAAGATGAGTTTATATACCTCCATGACAACAAAAATATGGCAAGAATCTCATGGTCCCTCAAGGACTGAGAACTCAGTGTCATGGTGGATTTTATGTGTTAACGTGATTAGGCCATGGTGCCCAGTTGTTTGATCAACCATCAGTCTGGATGTTGCCGGGAAGGTCTTTTTTAGATATGACTAGCATTTAAAATCAGTAGACTTCAAGTAAAGCAGATTACCCTCCATAATATGGTTGGGTCTCATCCAGTCAGTTGAAGGCCTAAGGGAAAAGACAAATCCCCCAAGGGAAAAGGAACTGCCTCACAAATGCCTTTGAACTCAAAACTTCAACATCAATTCTTGCAAGAATTTGCACCCTGCCAGCCTGCCTTATAGATCTCAGACTTGTCAGACCCTACAACTGTGCAAACCAATTCCTTGAAATAAATCTCTATGTATATTTGTGTGTGTGTGTGTGTGTGTGTGTGTGTGTGTATAGACAAGAGGAGACTTTGGAAAGTCTGTGGATAAATGGAATTAAAGTATGAGTTTATTTTGGTGCAAAAGTATTTGAAATCCATGCTTAGTTTTTTTTTTCATAATATGTCTTTTCAATAAACTTTTTAAAGACCCTTCTCATAAACAGTTTCTTTCTCTCAGCTATTGGCTCTGTTTTTCTGGAGAACCTTGACTAGTATACATGATAATCATGTAACCTGTTAGTTGAGCTAGCCTAATGTGGGTCTTAGAATAAGTAAACAAATTTACTGTATCTTTTTTTTTTTTTTTTTTTAGGTGTTTTCCATACGGCACATGCACTGTTAAAAGTCAGCTCTGCTTGATGTGAACTTACTGAGTAGACTCCTTGGCTTTAAAAACAATGCAAACACAAACGAAATGTTCGTTCCCTCTGTGAATGGTATATGTGTAGGACAAGGGAGACACTCCTCTATTCTAAAGCTGTTCATGACGCAAGAAAGGTTTCTTGCATACATTTAACAAAAATCCAGTCATATCCCCTAGGCTTTTTTTTTTTTTACATAGGGTGTGTGCACCCTCTGGATAGAGAGAGAGAGAGATACAGTGAGAGAGAAAGTGAGAAATCACCCGGGATGAATTGGCCATACCCCAATCCCTTCTCTTATATACTTCTCCTGGGATTTTGGGCATGCATACTCATGCACTTGGTGTGATTTTCAAGTCGCCAAGACTTGAACCATGGTTTGCCATGGGGGAGTCTAACACCTTAACAACCACACCACCTGCTGGCCCCACTTTACCAATATGAAGAACAAAGTAATATTAACTATGAGATGATGTAGACTGCTTCCATTGCCAAGAATCAAATCAATCAGAATGCACAGTATGTAACAGTTTATAGAAATACAGTTCCAAACCTTGTTAAAAGCACTTAAACTATGGCCACCATTAGAGGCACGCAAGGCCATTTTCAAAGGCTGAACCATCCCATTGTAAGAATTAGAAGTCTTCCCATATTCTGACTCTTTGATTAGTCCCTAATGCCATAAAGAAAATGATTTGAGCTGATCCATAACCCTGGACATCTTCCACTCTACAACTCCAATAAAAATTTCAGACAATGCCAACATGTATCATGGATGAAATCAAAACATATCATTGACAATAATGAGAAATGAAGCTTTTTTCCTGAAACCAGTAAAAATCAGCTATAAATCACTAGTAATTGTCTTGGCACAAACACAAGATCATGGGAAACCAACTTCCATGTATTAAGCCAGAGTATAGTATCAACTTCACTCAGAGGCTAATTCCAAATATAATTACTGCATCATTATTTTTTTTTAAATCCCCATAATATTGCATTTGTACTGAAACCACTCATTTGTAACTAACCCCAGGTAAACAAAATAAATGCAATGAGTTCAGTCTGTCCACAGCTGAAAAGCAGGGCTATAATCTCATGGGCTCTTCTAGGGGCAGCTCTGGCCCACATTTGCACCAGCTGGGTCTGAACCCCTTCCTACGGGCTTCCGCCTGTACACCAACCATCAGCATGGCCACGTGGCTGGCAGAAGACCAGGAAAACCATTGCACAACATTAAGACCCTCTTCTGCACCCACCAGCTCCATTGTTTTTGTCTCCACCCACCCGGATTCTGATTTTTCGACATTTCATGGGGGAAAAGGCATTGATTTGAAAGTTCCTTTGCACTGTAAGCACTTGGAGATCAAAAGGCATTTTGTTCTCCTGCCATAGGAAACAGCACCCAGTGGCAAAAAGTTCTTCGCTTTTGTTTTTCTTTCAGACCACCAAGCAGAAGTTATGCAACCAACCATGGCCAGAAATCTGTGCCCCCACTTGCTAGAGGGTCCCTGCTTCTCTTCAGCCCCCATATCTGTAGCTGTTGCTGAGACGGGGTTGCTGTTTATGATTCATGCACGTGGTTTCTAAGAGAAACGTAGATGGAGTGTCTACATTCATTTGCCAAAGGGTAGGAGCAGGAGCAGGGAGGGGGGATGTCGCTATGGTCTACCTGGGAAAGAGCCCATTAATTTAAGTCCAAGTGGGAATCTTAAAATGCACTGCTATTCCATTGCACTTGCCCATGCTTTGAACAGGCCTCTGAAATGCTCAGTTGCGGAGCTTTGTCGTATGATATGTGTATATTATGCCATATCCTCCATTTCTCATGCTACATAATGGGGACCATTCTGGTATCAAAGGAAATGATGAATAATAATACCAAACATCTGGTTTATAAAACACAAACTTGCTCGACAGATTGACTGCTTCCTGTCAGCTTCCCAAGTTAATCATGCATGTGGCTCCTATGAATATGCATTCAGACTCATGTGTGAGGTGCCTGCAGCATGCCAGGCTGCTGCTCCTAGAGCTCGATCACTTTCCCACCGGAAGCACTAGGCGCAACGTGGCCTGCTCGAAGGTGTGGCTCCAGAGAGCACGCCACCATCAGATTGTGCTCCATCCGTTTTGCTGCTGGTCTAGACACTACTATTCATTGACTCCCTCAGTAAACATTGAGCATCCGCTGTGTGCCACATTCCACACCACGTGGCTGGGAAGACAACTGGGAATAGGACGAGGGTCTTATCCTCAATGAACCAGAAGTCCACTTGAAGAGACAGAAAAGCTGATAAGGCAGGAGGGGAAGAGCTTGCCAGAGCCATCATGCTGGCTCTCATTTTAGAGCAAAAGAGGCTC